CTATGATTAAATTGACACCATTTTGTATTTCACTAACTTCATCAGTTGATAACTATTAAATTGATGATCTAAACACACTTTTAAATTAATTAAAAGATAAACTAAAATGTGACATCATACTCCGCAAAAATACCGATATTAACATTAACTCCAGAATCATGGTCACTTCCATAATATACAAAAATTTTTAATGTATCTATTTACCTTATATGAGGCTAAAAAGCTAAAAAAAAGCATGGAATTTTGTATAAACCATCATCAAAAAAAGGAAAGTCACTTTCCCATGAAACCATTGATCTTGTTCATAGCTTTTATCAAAGTGGCGAGTACACATAAATGATGCCTGGAAAATTTTTTTTTGTCAGTACAGGCAACACATGCAAAAAAGACTAGTATTGAATAATTTAAAAGAACTTCATGTAGCATTTAATTCTCAACACTCTAATTTAAATGTTGGATTTTCAAAGTTTTGCAACCTTCGCCCAAGATGGTGTGTAACCACAAACTCGTTAACTGGTGGTGTGTAACCACAAACTCGTTAACTCTTAAAATTGACAAATACTATAGAGATTTAATAGGAATGATTGTTTACAATGGAGATTATCTAGAGAACATGTTACATCGATGTCTACTATGCCCTGGTATTACTGCTTTAAAAAAACCTTAGCAGTAAAATTTAACAACAGTGATGAAGAAGTAACAATTAACCAATGGCAAGGTACAGATAGAGCTACACTGATCAATCAAAAAAACAATATTGAAGATGTTAATGACCTTATATGCAATAAAATAGATAAACTAACATCTCTTTCACTTATAGCTGAAAGTTAAAATACCTTAAAGACTGTAAAGAGTTAATAAAGCACAACGAGTGTATAATTTTTGGTGAGTTTTTTGGTGGTAGATTACTTTCAATTTATTGCTCAGTATGAGGTGCAAAGTTATCACTGGAATAAACCAAAAGGTGCACTTCATCCTATTATTATATACTACAAATCCAATGGTAAACTGATATATAAGTCATTTTGCTTTCTTTCTGATGATGTTGAGGAAGATGTATACTTTGTATATAAAATACAACAGCTCATTATCAATTACATTAAAGCAAACATTCTACAAATTAGTAATATTAAATACTTCACTGATGGATGTGCAGCACAATAAGAAAACTTTAAGAACTTTATTAATCTTTGCCATCAGATGTGATGCACTTTGTGCAGATACCAAAGAATACTTTGATATTGATGCTGAATGGGTTTTTTTTGCCACAAGCCATGGTAAATCTACTTGTGATGGTATTGGTGGCACAGTAAAACAATCACCAGCTCAAGCCGGTTTGAAAAAGACAGTGACTGGACAGACTTAAGATGTTGATAAGATGTTTGAGTTTTGTGTAACCAATATAAAAAATATTCAATTCATTTTGGTTTATAAAACAGAAATAAATGAAGTTCAATCATCATTACAACTTAGGTTTACTATGGGAAGAACCTTGCTAGGAACAAGATGCTTCCATCATTTTATACCAATTAATAAATGTACAATTTCTTTTAAAAGGATGAGTCAACAAACTGATGTCCAGACATTCAACCTTGTGCAGATACTAAATGAGCTGGTTGTGCAGCAGGTTGTTTATATATATAGATTATGTAGCTTGTAATATAGATTGTGTAGCTTCAGTTTATGCATTCACATGGTCCCATGATGATGCATCAAGCATGGTTTGATGGGATATGTGTTGAGTTCTATCAAATCATGATTTATGTACCATTGATCCGCCATATATAAAATTTCAGAAACTGATTTAGAAAAAATTATTGAACAAAATAATAAAGATTTATAGAAAAAATTTCTAATGCATTATTTTTTTATATTTGTATGTTGCTTTTTCAAATTTAGTTAAGATATAATGTGAATATGTGAAACTGTATGTGTAATTGGCACAATTTAGCTTCTCAAAAAATTCTCCTAGTCACCTGTCTTTATGTTTTTAACAAAAAAAAAAAAAAAAAAAAAAAAAAGGAAGAGGGGTTGGTAAAATGCTTAATTGCATCCCTCTCCCCTTTAGACTATAAGCCCTTCCCACTCCCCAGGTACAAAAAAATATATAGATAAAGTATAAATTTATTACTGCCCTCAAATAAACTGTAACAGTAACTTTTACAAAATAAAATTAAGATATAGCTAATTTTGTCATAAATAAGTTAGCAATAAATTTTTAAGCATATGTATAAGCTTTAGGGGTCATCCATAAAGTACGTACGCTCATAGGGGGAAGTCTTTAAAAAGCATACGAAAGCGTATGGGAGGGGGGAGTTAAATATATTATATTTAACTTAACTTATTTATAGTTAAAGATATTCTAATTTATCACAATTAACCAGCTAATCAATGGAAAAGTTAAAATTCTGAAAAAAGATCTTAGTTTACCAAAATAAAAAGATGTATGGCACACAGGTCAGAAATTGACCTTTTAGGTTTGATTTTAGAACAACCCAAATATTTTTATAGATTCTATTTAAGAAACTTTTAGGTTACACAAAACTGTAAAAATTAAAATCTTGCAGGTGGCACATTTTTAGAAAAGACATTTAAAGGGGGCAGGCCTATGAAATTATTATGTTCGAGTGAAGAAACTTCCAGAAATACTGCAAACCATAAATTTTTACATACTAATAAAAATATCAAATAATGATGTTCTGCCAAAAAAAAAAAAAAAAAACTATTTAAAAGTACATATTAAATATGTATTCAAATATAAATATTACTATACGTATTAAAAGTACGTCAGATTTTTTAAAGAAACTTGAAATTTCATAATGAATTTCGATTTGGTTTTAAGAAATTACAAAAATATTTTTCAAATGCACATGTTCCCCTCTCAATCAGGGCAGGTGGCCTCAAATTTTGGATTTTTTTTGTTCTCAGACTTAAGTCACAGTTATTTTTTGGGGTGTCTTTTTATAACCATATGATACCATGTGATTATATGAATTTGTATACAAAAGATTTTAGTCTTCAAAATGCCTAAATATCATAATATTTCCCCGCACATCAATCTTTTAGGAACTATCTCTCATCTTCATGTTTTCCTGACTTTTACAACCTACAACTTTTTAGGTCTTCTGCCTTCTGTTTCCCTGCTCTTTAACTCTGTTTTTTGTTTTCTAGTAACTCTCAACTTAATAGTGGTTGCTTGCAGCCTTGTTGGTAGTGAATCAGAATATGAACAAAAAAAAAAAAAAAAAAGCTCTATATTGTTATTAAATTTTTTTTGTTTAGCTTCACTTTTTTGGATACATTTGTCTTTTTGACAAAAGTATTTTTATATAAGAGTATAGTTTATGGTTATGGCCATGCAAATTTTATGGACGACCCCTTACTTAAAAGGCTGCATTTAGAAAAGTTGAAAAGTGCAGTAATATATTATTTTATTAATAGTGATGTTTGATACCTATAATCTAAGTTATAACAATGCCTCAAAAAAGGTTATCAAGGTGACATCACAATTTTAATTGTTAATATACCCCAAAATATTTGCCTTCATTAGTTAATTTACATGTAATTAAAGTAGTCAAAAAAATTTTCAATTTGAAATTTGTATAAAATTTCAGAATGATACCTAATTTGGTTTGTAAAATATTGCTATTAAACAACAAAAAAGTTTTGTTGTTTAATAGCAATATTTTGCCAAAAATGCTGAGTCAGCATAAATAAAAAAATTGAATCCTGAATATCTCAAGAACTGCAAGGGGTTGGAGGTTCCAAATTTCAGATTTTCCTAATTTTCATAAACCCTATAACATAAAAAAAATTCAAAACATGGGGTGACATTTTTTGTTTTTTTCTGCTGATTTGACATGGAATTACCCTATTGTCAGTCTTTGGTGACTATTTTACTTACCAAATGTAAGTTTTTATGAAATATCTAATATGATTCAATTCAAAAATTTTCATATTTTGAATAAAATAACACTGCATTGCTAAGTTTTGCAGAAGGACTTTTAACTTTTAATATTATGTACAAACGTGTTGCGAATTGCAGGAATTTTCTTTATACAATTACAAGTTGTTGTTTAAGAGAAAATGATGTGTCACTGTCCAAACATTCCTCAAACTTAATGGTTATTGTTTGGACAGTGGCAACTTAGTTAAGTTTTGTTTACTAAATTCTGGATGTGTTGTTTGTTTTGTAACTTTGTAATTTTTTATGAATGAATATAAGTTTTAATGTTATCCCAATTAAATAACATTGATTATTAAAGTTAAGAATATGGTGGATGATCATGGGTAATCATTTAAAAATACTCTAAACTTAACTATTAAATGGACAAAAAAGTTTGCAAACCTTGATCCTTAAAATAAATTAAAAAAAAATTATTAAGATCTGGTTCATTCTCATTTTGCTACAAAAATCTGATAGAATTCTAACAGAACAGAATATTGAGTAATAAAAATAAGTGGCGTTATAATGGGGGGCGTTAAAATAAAAAAATAAGTGGCGTTTTTTGGGGGTATGGCATTGCAATACTTTGCCTGATATGGCCAAAAAAAGCTTGTACAGTTATAGCTTCTTTTGCAAAGCCATATCTTGCTTTTATATGTAAAACATAAAATTTATAAACTATAAAAGTATTTAACTGTGTGCTGTATTGTCTTATCTTTTAGAAAGAAAATGAATAAAGTCATTCAAATTAATTTTTGTTTTTAAATTGTTTCAAAGAACAGTTGAATGTTTAGTTGTTTGTTTGTTGTTGTTTTTTTCAAACAGCTTTTTTGAAAATAGGTAAATCTATAAAGAAGGTCATGCTTTTAATTTTATATACATAATGAATATCAATTTTTTCAACAAATAGCATTTGTAGAACCATTTTTGTAGATTTTTACAATTTTTTTATCTATCAAAATGCATTTATTTGTTTCAATTAAGTGAGAAGGTTTTCAAAATTGTTTGTTCGACAGAAAGTTTGTTCTAATATTTTTCTATTTAATTTGTTTAGGTTGGTGGAGCATTAGTCTTATGATGATCAGTTTTTTCAGTAATTTGTTTATGACAAAGATTTTAGTTGAAATAATTACACTGATTGGAGAAGAAGCTCATAAAACCCGTGATCCATATACTCGAGCAGTTGAATGTGCCTTTGGAAAAAAAGCAAAATTGATTTCAACATTTATTCTGCATTCATATACTATATTTGTGACTACAGTTTATCTATTGCTTTCTACAGAGTTGTTAATTATGTTTTTTGATGAGTTTGTCCCAAGTATGACTACTACTCTTGGACTTCGTCTGTGGTTGTGCATTGTTGTAGTTATATTGATTCCAATTACTTGGTTAGGAACACCTAATGATTACTGGGTTATTGCATTAGGTGCTTCACTCACTATAATATGCGCTGCAATACTTGTTTCAACCAGCTTATTGCTTAATCCTCCTTCTGATATTAGCAAGGTGCCTGTTCGTAATGTTACACCTGTAACTTTTTTTTTTGGAATGGGATCTATCTTGTTTGCATTTTGCGGAATTCCATTTCTGCCAAATATTCAAAGTGATATGAAAGATGGCAAATTAATGTTTAAATCTTCTGTTTTTTCCTATGTTATTGTAGCATCAGTTTATATTCCAGTTGGAATTCTTGGAATTGTTTTGCTCGGTAATAATATCAACCCAAATGTTATTTTAAATATTGTAAGTCAATCTTTAAAATTACAAAATGGTTATATGAAGGTTGTTTTAAAGAATCTAGCGTATACTGCATTAGTTCTTCTTGCTGGGCATTTTTTATTTGCTTACAACCTCATATTCAACAATCTTGCTCAAGAATTAGAAGAAATAATCAAAATAAAACGAGGTTAAGTATTTTTTTTTTTTTATACCAATATTTTTTAGTATCAAAGTATTGTTACGATTCGTTAAGAATTGTTGAATAAATTGACCAAAAATATTGTCTTAATTAAACATTAAATAAATAACGATTATTTAGTTCATTATCACAACACTTAATGTGGTTTTCTTTTAGTATTTTGTTGGCAAAGATGTCTTCTTCGAGCTATATTTGTTTTATTAACTTTGGTATTTGCCCAAACCATCCCTAAATTTGAAATTATCTTATCGCTGGCTGGTGGTGTACTAATCACCACACTCTCTTACGTTATTCCTTCTTTATTGTACATTAAGCTTATTGATAATGTGAGTATTTCTTATACATGCATAATGGCAACGATATGTACATTTGCAGCAATAGTGTGTTTTGGTTCAATTTATTCGAATGCCATAAAAATTTATAATTTTTATAAAAATCCAGTCTAGTTGTTTATTGCTTTCAAGTTATATAAAAAAACAAATTTTTATTTCACGTTAACATTTTTATACTGCTTTTTTAGGATTAATTTTTTTGTTTTCTTAATAACCTTTTTCGAAGTTATTTTTTTTTATCTGTGAAATTAAAAGTTTTATAAATTGTAAAATAATTATTAAGTTTTTTAATTTTTAATAAATATATAGTTTTTTTTAGTCTTTCATTATCAGGCATCGGAATTCCTTAATATGACTATACTTACTTAGATTTTGTAGTCTGTAAGCTCCTGGTGGTGATTGCTTAATTAAAAATTTCGCTATCATCTACTTCTTATCTCTTTACAGAAATAATTAAATTAGAAAAACAAGGCCAATAGTCCTAAAGAAGCAGCGGCGCTTTACCAACTTTGAACGTTGACCGATGGCACTATGTGTTTTGGGGTGGCCAAAATACAAAAAAAAGTTTTCTCAGATTTTTGAAAACTAAATTCCTACTGCTTTAAAATTTAAAATAATTTAAAATACAGGTTAAGGAAAATACAAAATGTTTTTATTCTGGTGATTGTAATCACAGAGATAGTGACCATCAAAGTCAAAAATGGTTGCCAAATTTAAGTTTTCAAAAAAAATTGTTTTTTTTTTTTTTTTTTTTTTGCAGTGTTACTTCCATATTGATTTTTTTTTTGCTAATTTGTTTATATATTGAAGAGTATCAAATTATATACGTCTTAAGATGCTCAAGAAAAACTTTTTTCTTTTTCAATTTTCATGATGTTTTAGCCCGGAAAAAAGTTTAAATCGCAACTTCCAACTTCCGTGAACCCGCAAAAAATATAGTATCAAAAGGAATCGACAAAACTATTATTAAATAACGTGAAATTGAGTCTATTTTTAATACAATAAAAAAATTAGCTGCGACTATGCAAGAAATTTCTATTTGAAGTTTGCGCTACCTGGATTATAGCCAATTTTCAATTTTTTGTTTTCCCGAGTAATGATTGATCAAAAGTCTTCATAAGAATTTGTATTCAATAATCAATGGAAAATGATAGCTTATTATTGATAATTTCATTTAATTAGGTAATTATTAAAATAATAGTTTAAAATTAACATTAATTATTAAAATAATAGCTTGAAATTAACATAATTAAAAAATTATTTATTTAGAATATATTACTTTTATTCTTTTAATTGTAAAAAATTAAAAGAATTAAAAGTTATATATTTTACTAAAATTAAAAACAATGAATTTTACAACTAAAGATATTATTAGCTGTTTCAAATATTCAACAAAAGAAGAAAATATAAACAATGCTTTACTTTTCATATCTTCTAGAGTTTGTATGAGGGATGATAAAAAAGAAAACTTGGTACAAGAGTTGAATCGAATTACCAATTTTTTTTTGAAAAGAAACACGAGAAATGGTTCAATCAAAAGTTTGAAATAGACGTTTCGTCATTGGGATTGGCACAAAACATAAAAGCCCGACCAAAAAAAGATTTTGATGATGCGAGTAAGAGAAGTAAACGTTGGATAATTGTAGGAGAAAATTTGTATAATTTTGATTCAATTGAAAAATCATTACTTATAGCCTGTAGAAAAGTATATGATTAAAATGATTTTTCTTTATTCAATGTGTTAACACATGTCATTAAAATTATAAAGATTCACATCATATGCTTGTTCAGTTGACAAATGATAACGATAAAATGACAGCTGAAGAGGCTGCTGCAACAATAATTGACGTAGATCTTAGCGTATCTGGCTATAAACGAATCCAACAGGCATCTAAAATAAGATATCCATCTTATTCAACAGTTGAAAAAGCACTTTAATTGTGTGGTCCACAGGGTAATCACTTGGAAGTCAGTGATTTAAGAGTCAAAGTAGATTTACAAACACTTATAAATCTTACCGTTGAAAGAATTGTAAAAATGAGACAAAAAAGAAATAATGGATTATTCGGATATCAGTAACAAACTAAGTGAAAATATGTTGCTTTTAAACAGTTGGGGTATGGATGGATCCACTGGGCAGACTTTATACAACCAAATGTTTTCCGACTCTATTGACAGTCAAGATTCAAAGATGTTTGCAATTGTAACAACACCTTTGAGACTTGGTGTGTCAAATTCAAAAAATGACTTTTTGTGGACCAACTTAATGCCTCTTAGTATAAGATTTTGTTGGATTTTGTAGAACTTCATTTCATCAAAGAAACTGTTGTAGTCGTTTGAGGAAAATAAACGTCAAATAATGAAATTTTGGATTCGCATTCAGTAAATATTGAATTGTTTAATGGAAAGTTTGTTATTATTGATTTCAATTTTATTTTGTGCATGATTGATGGAAAGGTTTTAGAAATTATAACAAACACATCGTCAACGCAGTGCTGTTGTATTTGCGGAGCTACACCAATTGCAATGACTGTTTTTTTTTTGCTATAATAAGTATACCTTTTTTTGCTATAAATCCACTTAGAAAGAGTTTTCTAAGTGGATTTATAGCAAAAAAAGGTATACTTATCTATGAGATATTTCCGTTACATGCTTGGATAAGATTCCTAGAGTGTTTTTTACATATTTTATACCGACTCGAATTCAAAAAATGGAGCGTAATCAAAGAATTTAAGACATTATACGATAAAGAAAGAAATTTATCCAGCAGTTATTGTTCAAAAGGAAGCATCTCCGAGTTGATTTTCCCGCAGTTAGTCAAATAGGAATATCTACCACCGGTAGATATTCCTATTTGACTAACTGTTTGCAAAAAAGTGTTCTCTAACCCAAAAGATCTAAGCGAAATATTAGGGATTGATAAGGCAATTATTAAAATGCTTAAAAATATCTTAATTGCAATAAGTTGTCAGCAAACATTGAAATAAATATATAGCAGAAGAAAGTTTTTTAAACATTCTCTTTTTAAAAATTAAAACAAGTTTGTAACCTTTTGTAGAGATACCATTGTCCTCTTAGGTATTACTACTCTTATGGCCTACTACACAGTTTACTAATTAGGTCTGTGAGGCTAATGGGTTTTCTTTTCAAGTTACTTGCTCTAACGAAACAATATAATTAATAATAAATAATATAATTAGTGGCTCAGCTAGTTGTTCGGAATTGTGCCCTAAAAAAACAGTCATTAGGGCCCAATAAATCTTAAAAATTTTTCCTTCGTTAAGTTTAACAATAAAAAAAAAAAAAAATTTGTACTTTTTTTTTTTTCAATTTGATATTTAGGTGCCCCAAGAAGTCCTATAATCAGGAATTTCACGCCTCCTTCCTTACCGTGACGCGAAATATGTCCAAAGTTTGTTTCGAACCTGGATCTCCTAGTTATAAAGCAAGCGCTCTTACCACTGCGCCACGGCCGCACAAAGAACTCTTAAAATTGGGTCAAAACGCAGTGCCGTCCAGGTGCTTGAACTAAATAAGTTAATAAATTGTTAGTTTAAATGACATAAATATAAAAAAAAATTAATTAAAAGTTATTACTTTCTTTAAAACTATTTTTGACCACCCATTTGTATAAAATTACGACATAGTGGATGGGTATAATGACCGAAAAATACCTGGCCCGTGGATTTGCAATTTAGAACTTATGATGGAATGTTAAGCCAGGGTATTCTTTAATGTAGTGTCTGACGGTTGCAAAGGTATAAGCTCAAAACCTTTCAACGCTGATTTCACGTCCGCTCAAAATTGTCTGCAAAATGAAATAGAAACGGTGGATGAAATTCAAGTATTTTTAAAAAAATCTCGAGCAGTATTTCTTTCGTTTGTCCACCCAACTCTTATTTTGTTATGTCGACTAAAATTCTTAGTTGCCGTTTAATTACTTTTTAAATGTTTTCATTTTTGCATTTTTCTGATTTTTTTTTTTTTTTACGCGCTTGCCACTTCCCTACTTTTTTTGATATCCTAAATAAACACAGCATCAAAACATCGTTCAAATTCATTCTATTCTATCATCAAAACACCCTGTTTTGCATGCTTGACTATCTAAATATTGTGATACTTGAATTGTGTCAAATTAAAAGATTTTTGTGTGTAAAAGGTGGTTTTAATGGCTGGACCTGTTTGATATGTTTGTCAAAAAGCGTTACTCATTTTAAGAAGTTTCCTCTGTTTTCTTTTTAAATTCACAACTTTAGAGGTCAGCAAAAGAGGGTTAAAGACAGCCTCGGATGACTCCACAAAATCTTTTCTACTTTTGTTTCTTAATTTACAGATACAAGTCGCAATGAAACAAGTGAAGTAAAAAATAAACTTGCATCTGGTATATTTGGATATTCATTTTATAAATGTTTGTCTGGATGTTTCTTTGAAGCCCGACTTACAAATCAAAGTCATACTCGACACTTCTAAATTTACTCGTAAATGTAATATTGTCTGGGTTCAGCGGAAAAACATTTAAACGTTTTGGTGTAAAATAACTTGTAACAGTACCTCTGCTTGTAACAGTACCTCTGCTTGTAACAGTACCTCTGCTTGTAACCTCTGCTTTTTGATTAGGTAAAATTTAGAACTAGAGGGTAGCAGCATTTTTTTGCTGCCATAACAGCTAAATACGTTGGATAATATGTATTTATGCATTTTGCTTTTGTCTAATTTTTTTAAATGCTGATAAAAATCTTTTGTCTTTTTATAGTTTTATAGAGGTGCTAGAGTTTTAGCATCATAAAAGACTGCAAATCATAATAGTTGCCTTCCTTGTATTTTTTGAAAATGCTTTTTGTATTTTATTTTTGCTTCCTTGTGTTTTTAGAAATTGCTTTTGAAAATCATATTAGTTAGCCTTCCTTGTATTTTTTGCTTTTAATGAAATTTTTTTTTTAAAGATTAGTCTTGTTGTTGTAATACTAACGTATATTTGGTTTTAAACTTTATCAATAAAATTGAAATGGCAGTTCTCATATCATTGGGAATTGTAATTATAACTTCTATCTTTTCTTTCAATGACTTTTTCAAAGGTTCTCTGATTATATGGAAAAGCATTTTCATCGAAAGTCCAAATATAATATTTATTTACTCAATGGTTTCTTTAGTTACGAAATTTATTTATGAATTTTTTATTTAAATAGAAATGTATAAGTGCATTTATAAAGTAAATGAGTTCTATCCATACTTAATAGAATAAAAC